TTTTATCTGGGTTCTGAACTTGGATTATCGGCGACATCTTGCGGCGGAGCAGCAAAGCTTGCGGCAGAGCACCAGCAAACCGTATAGCGGTTTTGCACATGTGCAAGCAGCAAACCATATGCCGGTTGTGGCCTTGTGCAGACAGCGCCACTAGCAGCGGCATAAATATACTACTCACTTTTGTAATTATTTTCGGTCACCATTACACAGTCATGTCATGTGCAACTCTGCCATAGTACGGTTGTTGCTCCCTTTTAGACCGGAGTAATTTTTATACAACTCTGAGTCAACAAAATTCATGCTCCTTGTCATTATCAACCCTGATCACATTTTACCCCCGAGGAGTACTCGAAAAGGTTCATTACTGTATATACTGTGGTAGAACTCTCTTATCTGTGTTTCTGGAAAAGAGGGGTGGAAGTATTTTTGCGCAGAACTTCTTTTTGCGTAGGCGGTCTTCGGCCGCGTTTAGGGATAATAACCCTTACTAAGTAGAATTCTCCTTTCTGTGTTGCCGAAAGAGGGGGGGCGGAAGTATTTTTGCGCAGAATTTTTTTTTGTGTAGACGGCCTTTGGCCGCGCTTAGGGATTATAACCCTTACTAAGTGCAACTTTCCCTTCTGTGTTGTCGGAAAAGAGGGGCGGAAGTATTTTTGCGCAGAACTTCTTTTTGCGTAGGCGGCCGCTGGCCGCGCTTTGTGATGATAACCCTTAGTAAGTGGAACTTTCCTTTCTGTGTTGCTGAAAAAGAGAGGCGGAAGTATTTTTGCGCAGAAGTTCTTTTTGCGTAGGTCACACTGATGTTAACTAATATATGTACATACATATGTCAGCCCTTGCGTCGACGGACTCAACGTTGGCCAATACTTAACTTTTGACGCACGTAACTCCGTCACTGCACACAAGACAAGACAAATGAGAATATGCATTAATTGTCACAATGTTTGAGTAAAGTAGGCATCCAAACAATAAACTATCTTCTAAAAGCCAGAGACAGTGACGAAAACATCAAGAAAAGTGTGAATAGATTAGTAAACAAAGTGTGAATGGTTTGCTATTGTATCTAAAAAATTGACTTGTGAAAACCCCAAGTACGCGGCCATAAGAAACAGGTGAATTTTGTTTGCAGACGCAACACCTTCATTGTGACGTATCTCTACGGCACATACGCCATTTCCTTCGTATACTTTTCCGTTTTTGACGTACAAGTACCAATTCTGACGGGCCTATTAGATATACAGAATACACTTACAAAAATTCTTGCTATAAGCCAGTTTTATAACCCTTACTAAGTGTTTTTGCAAAATTCTTTTTAGTAGTCATTTAATAATTTAATTTATAACCACTTTACCAAAATTCCAAAAGTTTTGCTTGATTTGTATAGTCGAAAAATTCACCCAGCTTTGTTAAATACATGTGTATGTTTTAGCAGCAACACCAATATCGGAATAAGCACCTCTTGGCAGCGCTTCCTTGGGAAAGTAAGTCTCTTATCATTTTATCCTTGACAATGTCCTCAGTAATTAGTCTGTTCCTTTGAACTTCGGACTAAAACCTGGGGAACTGTCAAACTACAATTTCACGCTCTCAAATGAGAGTAAAAGGAGAACAGATGCAGAAGTGCATAGGAACGCAAAAAGCACTATTTCCTGTAAAAACGTCAGACGGTTTGTTTACATGTCATTGGTACCACACTGATTTGGCTGAAATATCACTAAATAATTATTAAAATCTATACATATTCAAATATTTCGTTTTTTACTTCCATTTTTTAACAAATATAAGGTTCTTTGCTTTCACCGCTTTCTGTTTTTGTTTGCACATGTAAATCAGCTGATCGTTTGACACTTTTCATGAACTTACAGGAAAAAAAACTCCGGACTAAATCCTGTAACTTCTGACTAGGAACAGTTGCTCAGTTACTCTCTCAAATGTGTTCCCACTTACAGGTTTTATGTCAATAGGAACGACTTCCTGTAAGTTCTGACTAAATCCTGTAAACCGGACTGCTATTGGAACAGACTAAATATGAAGTAATAACTGCCGTTCCATTAAGTTCACCCACTTGTGATAAAAGGTTTTGTGACAACTTGTCCAGTGAACAACTGTTGTGTGATCAAAAAAACTTGTGATAAAATGTTTTGTGATAAATTGTCCAGTGATCAATTGTTATGTGATCATTTGTCTAGATGATAAAATTTGTGATCATTTGTCTCGTTATTAACTGTACCCGTGATATTGCTTGCTTATGCTAAGTGGAGAAAATATAGCTGATATAGCCTCTAAATTGCAAGATGACATAAATAAAGTATACGATTGGTTATGTTTGAACAGACTTAAATTGAATGTCAAAAAACTAAGTTTATGGTTATATCAAGGCGAAATTTTGAGAACAGTGAGTTGCTAACTCTAAATATAAACAACGAAGCACTGGAAAAAGTGAATACATTCAAATACCTAGGAATAAAGATCGATGATAAACTAATCTTTAACGAAAACATTGATTATACTGTAGGCAAGATCGCAAAAAATTATACTTCACGCAGAGAACCTGCAGATACTTGAGTAGAAGGTATAAGACGATGGTATATAGATCTATAATCGAACCTCATTTTATTTATTGTCCAACTATTTTTTTCATAACGAGAGATAGTCAAATTTATAAATTGCAAAAGCAACAGAACAGAGCCATGCGATTCATCCTTAGAAAACGTTATGACACACCTATCAGAGACATGTTGGCCGAATTAAATTGGATGAGTGTTAAACAACAACTTTTTTACTACACAGTGACATTTATTAGGAATATTATAGGTGGCAACTTGCCTGATTACTTAAAAAGCAACATAAAGTATGTCAATAATGTACACTCCAAAAATACTCGAAATAAAAATAATTTCAATCTACCTGCTTATAAAACGGAAGCAGATAAATGTAACTTGTATTATAAAGGATTAAGGTGCTTTAATGAATTACAAAATGATGTTAAATCAAGCAATATGAATGAATTTAAACAAAAATTGTATAATTATTGTAGGATCCTTCCTATTTAGTGATGCATGGGCAATCTTCCAGACTTTCAATCGAAATGCATACGCACCAAGTATATTGTTGCATTACGCCAATATATACCCTTTCGCACGCATCCAAAAAGCAGCCGAGGCTCTGTGAATCGCTGTTTAGATGCTTGTTTCGCACTTTGCATACATACGCGGTAGCTCAACCGCAGCCAAATAGTGCAATCATTGTAATTGATTTGTTTTGGAAGTATGTGTTGTATCCAGTGTTGCCATTTTAGCCGTTTTCCGGCTAGATTTAGCCGGTTGCGATAGCAAACAGCCGGAGAAATTTCGATTTAGCCGGCAGCCGATTTGTTAGCCGTTTTGCAGAAAAAAACTAGCCGTTTTTTAGCCGATTTTGCTATTTGCCTTGTTTTCTTAAATTTCAAATATCTATATATGTTTCCATTTTTGACTAAGCGACCCAAAATCTGTTAGAAATGGCTACTAGCCTTATCGTGGAGAAAATTTTCATGTCAGGCAGGATTGCTTATTTTTATTTTAAACGAACGAACGAATGTCTTAATTTTAAGTGTGAAGTTTTATTCGCAAACTTAGAAAATAAGAAACTGTTTCACAGTTAAGACTCTTAGGATGCGCTTGTGTTTGGGTATAGTGCCAACAAACAGAATAAATATTACATGTAGATATTGTCTTCCCAGATAGCGCATATTCAATTCTGCCTAAATTAAAAAACATAATTTTTGCCCACTCCCAAAGGTTTAAGGTAATGAAAAAATTGATATTTTCGAGCACTATGTACACACATGTATTTTTTAAACAAACGCACAAATTTTTATGTAAAGCAATCTAAATGGGAGATCTGCAGTCTTTTAGCATCATATTTTACATCAGAATTGAAAGGATTTCTGAAAAATCTGACCAGTTCTTTTATGTAACTGTAATTTTGCATCCCTTGTCAACATATGGCCTCGGTTGATGTTAACTTAAGGTCGTTGCTTTACTGCCTTAAAATTGAAGGGAGATCTTTACAGCGTTTTTATGTGTATTGGTTTCTATTTGAGTGTATTGAGAATCGGTCCGTCTGAAAAGGCCTTGTAGGGAAGATAATAGGTTTGTTCGTTGAAAATCCAGCGAGAATTATCACTCAAAATATCAGATAGTAATAGAAATAAATAGTTTTTTTTCCGAGTACCTTTCAAATCATTGGAATTAAATTAACTAATTAATTAACTAAATTAATTAAGTAAACAAGTATTAACTTACATTTTTCATTTTAAAATCGCTCTAGTTTGAAAATTTTTATATCGTCGACAAAAAATCCAACCATGTGCCACAATCATATCTTTTTCCTAATTGCAAATTCTTGCTGGCAAAATTTTTTCCGGCTCGAATTTGTAACTTCTCTCCAAGAAATAGTATTTTTACTCGTGATTTATTTAAATAAAACATGTGAAATTTAGTTGAAACATTTTAGCCGTTTTTAGCCGGTTTTATTTGCCAATTTAGCCGGTTCATCCAAAAAGTTCTGGCAACACTGGTTGTATCATTACTATGCAAGAATGATAGAATACAAGATTGCGCCGATCAGAGAGGATTTTTGAGAATAACTTTTGTGTGACGTCACACTGGTGCAATTGCGAGAGAGAAATGCCAAAACGTGAGCAAGAATGGAAGAAGAAGAAAAAATGTTGCAAGGAAAACGTAAACAAGTTGCACAAGTGTGACGTCATGCAAACAACGATTCTGTCAAATTCATTAAGAGAGGAATAGCGGTCCGAGATCGGCGCAACCTTTGTATTCTCTCAATCGTGATTACTATGTATGCATAAGAACACACTCATATAAATATAGCATGTAACATAAACGAAAGAACATAATAAAACAGTTCGCAATTGGCAAGCAAAGTGATAGGTTGTAACAGTTGGCGACGAGGACGAAGCACGCGAACGGTCGAACATTTCTTGCGTACAAAGAAAAATGGCACCTACACCGGAGGCTGTAACACCAGCGGCGGTTTTTCAATTTGATGCTTTCAACCCGAATACGACAAGGTGCTCACGTTGGGTGAAACGGTTTGAGACAGCTCTGGTGATATTCAACAGCGATCAGGAAAAAAAGCGTCAATTCTTACTTCATTACATAGGTGCGGCAACATATGATGTCCTCTGCGATAAAATCCTACCACGTACACCAGAAGACATTACGTATACGGAAATCGTTAACACATTGGAGGAGCATTATAACCCAAAACCCAACGAAATTTTGGAGAATTACAGATTCCACTTGCGGAAACAGGAAGGCGAGGAATCATGCATGGATTTTTTAATGGCGCTACAAAGGTTAGCGGTCACATGTAAATTCGGAACGTATTTAAATACGGCACTCCGCAACCAATTTGTTTTTGGATTAGCAAGCTCCAAGGTCCAAGGAAGGTTACTGGAAAAGAGAGAGCTCACACTGGATGAAGCCGTTAACATTGCAAAAGCCTACGAAGCAGCAGAAAAAGGCGGGATCGAAATCCGGAACTGCGCAAAGACAAATGAAACAAGCGTAGACAAAATACGAATACAAGGTAAACACAAACTGACACAGGACAAGAGACAAAGCAAAGACAATGATAAACAGGGCAAAATTGTCAAATGCTTCAGATGTGGCAGCTCTGCACATTTGGCAAACGCATGCACATATAAAGAAACAATGTGTCACTATTGCAAAAAGAAGGGGCACTTGAAGAAGATGTGTTTGCAGAAAAAGAAGCAAATTAACGAAATTTCTGATGAAAAGGAAACGTTACGGCAAAATACTGACTGTAAGGTAGAAGACTTATTCCAAATTAGTTGCTTAAACAACAAAGCTGAGCCAAGACGTAAATTACTTTGTTCTTTAGATGTGGAGGGTGAACTAATTTCTTTTGAAATTGATACAGGCTCGCCTGTAAGCATAATCAGTCTGGCTGACGCAAAGAAATATTTTTCGAAAGCTAAAGTGAAGGAGAGTGATACAAGCTTCTATAGCTATTGCAACACAAGGTTGGAATGTTTGGGATACATTGACGTCCAGGTACGTTGCGACGAAAGAAATACAAAAGCAAAACTATACATAGTGCGGTCGGATCGTAAACCATTGCTAGGCAGGGAGTGGCTTAGAGCTGTAAAGTTAAATTGGTCAAGAATTTTCCACGACCAACTCGACGCAGATGTTGTAGTAAAGAGTATTTCACAAAATAAACCGCAAGATCAGGTGAAAAGCATAAGAAATTTCCAAACTTGTTTTCGGATACAATCGGAACTATTGCTGGCCATCAAGTAAGGTTACACTTAAAACCAAACAGCAAACCATGTTTTATTAAATCAAGGCGAGTACCACTTTGGGAGGCTGTAGAGGCAGAACTTGACAAGCAGGTGAGTGAAGGATTGTTGGAAAAAACGGATAAGAGCGAATGGGCTTCACCCATAGTCGTGGTACAAAAAGTGGAAGGCAAAGTGCGAATCTGTGGCGACTACAAGCTTACGTTGAATCCTGCACTACGCATAGATGAACACCCACTACCGACAATAGACGAACTCTTCAGGAATACGGCAGGAGGTACAAAGTTTACAAAGATTGACCTGTCAAAGGCGTATTTACAATTGCAAATTCATCCGGACGATCGGCACCTGCTAACATTGAGCACCCATCGAGGCTTATACCAACCTACAAGGATGATGTTCGGCATTGCTTGCGCTCCAGCGGTTTGGCAAAGGTTCATGGAGAAGTTGGTGGGAGACATTCCGGGAGTTACTGTGTTCCTCGATGACATCAAACTTACTGCACCCGACGATGCAACACACCTTGAACGATTGGAAGAAATCTTACGCCGTCTAGATAATCACAATATGAGGGTCAACCTTGGTAAGTCACAATTTTTAGCAGATCGTATTGAGTACTGCGGTTATCTCATAGATAAACAAGGCATCCACAAAATGAAACAAAAAGTGGAGGCTATTCAAAACATGAAAACGCCAACCAACAAAGACGAAGTCCGCTCTTGCTTGGGGTTGATTAACTACTACGGGAGATTTGTAAAAAACCTAAGTAGTATTCTATATCCGTTGAATAGATTGTTGCAGAATAAAGTTGAGTTCAATTGGGATGCCAAATGTGAAAATGCCTTACAGTCAATAAAAGACGTTATGCAATCGGACATTGTGCTGACCCACTATGATCCTAAATTACCAATTACACTAGCTGTGGACGCGAGCCCGACCGGGGTGGGTGCAGTGTTGAGCCATACATTTGCGGATGGCACGGAAAAGCCGATACAGTTTGCCTCCCAAACGTTGAACAGAACGCAACAAGCTTACAGTCACGTTGATAGAGAAGCTTATGCAATTATTTTTGGGGTGAAGAAATTTTACCAATACTTATTCGGCAGGAAATTCACTTTAATTACAGATAACAAAGCAGTCGCACAGATATTTTCGCCGCAAAAAGGGTTACCAACATGTTCCGCAACCAGGATGCAACATTACGCGATATTTCTACAATCTTTTACCTACGTAATAAAAACAAAAAAGGGGGCGGAGAACACCAACGCCGATGCAATGTCGAGGTTACCTTGCCCGGAAAAATACTATTGTATTGAAGAGGTGGATATTATTGAGTACGAAGCGATACAAAACAGGCCAGTGACCGTAGAGGAGCTAAGTACAAAAACAAAAGCAGATTGGGAAGTACACAAATTGGTCGAATGTCTTAAATATGGTCGCGAATGCGATGCAAAGGACCGATTTGGAGTAGAACAGGTGGAATTTACGCTACAGAAAGGCTGTCTTTTGCGTGGTATCAGGGTCTACATACCAAAACCCTTACGCAAGCGAGTACTACAGGAACTACATACAGCTCATTTCGGAATGTCGAAAATGAAAAGTCTTGGTCGAGCGTATTGTTGGTGGCACAACATGGATAGAGATATCGAAAACTTGGTATCGAATTGCAACGCATGCCAGTTGGTAAGAGCAGAACCGAAGAAGAATACACCAGTGCATTGTTGGGCAACACCTACAAAGGTGTTCGAAAGAGTCCATGCGGACTATGCAGGCCCAATATTTGGAAGGTACTTATTCGTACTTGTAGATGCGTTTAGCAAGTGGCCCGAAGTACATATTGTCCCGAATATGAATACTGAAACTACAATACAACGGTGCGAAGATATTTTTGCTACTTTCGGGTTGCCCAACGTTTTCGTGAGCGACCACGGAACGCAGTTTAATTCAAAGGCGTTCCAAAGTTTCTTGAAAAACAACGGCATCACACATAAACAAGGCGCACCGTACCACCCCGCGACTAATGGCCAAGCGGAAAGGTTTGTGCAAACGGTAAAGACCAAACTACGTTCAGCTAATTGCACTTCGAATAGTATGAATCGCGAGCTGGCAAACATTCTAATGGCTTATCATCGATCAATTCACCCTGCAACAGGAAAATCACCCGCGATGAATATGAATCCCAAGTAACAGTAGAAGCGACCAAGAACGCCCACCTAAGAAGCAATTCCTCGTAGGGGACAAAGTTGCAGTGCGAGATTATCTATCGAGCGCTAAGTGGCAGTTTGGAATAGTCAAAGAGGTACTGGGTAGTTTACACTACTACATTCGTTTAGATGACGGTAGAACGTGGAAGAGGCATGTGAACCAAATGAGAAAAGTAGGCGAGGGAGTGATCAATTCAAGGAAAATGCCAGAAGAGCCGGAAAAAGTGGATCAGAGGAAAGATGACCAGATAACGCTGTACGAGGCAACGACATCTCAGCCCTCAGCGAGCCTAGCCGATCGACCCATAGCCGACGAACCTACCATAGCCCGAGAGAAGAATGATTCTCCACAGCGTCAGACGACAACGGAAAGTGAGACCAATAATACAGATGACACCACTGTTCGAAGATCAACACGTAACCGGAGGGTACCGGAACGATATAAAGACTTTTCGACATAGATAAATTCATGAATTATTAACTGCTTAAAAATGTAAAATTTATTAATTCGTAACTTCACATTTAACATGTAACATCATACAAAATCAGCACTCTCTTATCTTAGAAAAATAAATGTATATATTGGATCATTTTATAGTGGGGGAGAGATGTTGTATCATTACTATGTATGCATAAGAACACACTCATATAAATATAGCATGTAACATAAACGAAAGAACATAATAAAACAGTTCGCAATTGGCAAGCAAAGTGATAGGTTGTAACAGTATGCCTCATTGTTTTTCACTGCAGTTGGTGTCCATATAAATGGCCTATACTTTATACTTTGTCTAGGCTTTAAATTGCATATAATTTTAAGCTAGGCTTAATTAACCTGTAAGAATTAAATAAATAAATAAATAAATATATTGGGGGGATACCAGTGGGCGTGGCTACACCCATTTTCCAAAAATTTATAATATTCTTATTTTTCGGCTAAAAATTATTTTAAATATCAATTTTGAGTGAATAATCTTCAGTAGTTTGTAATGCGATCAAAGCATACAATTTGCAACCCTACTGAATTACTACAAACTAGAGCTCTCGATTTTGTTCGCACATTTTCAAACAGCCCGGGTATATGAGCAGCGAGTACTCGCACACTTGTTCAATGCTCATTACTCGAAAATTTTCGGGCATGAGCTCGAGCAATTCAGGTTTTTTCGAGTAATTTGAGCAAAGTTTTTTTTTATTATATTGACATTTTTGGTAGCAACTTTTTAAATTTTTCAAATTATTGATATCTAATGCAAAGATTGTTACAATGGTATTTAATAATATAATTTATTTAACATGAATTAGAAAGCAGCTGCTGACAAATACAATTTACAAATTTTCTTTTGCTTATGAAATTGTTCAAAAACTCGAAAATTTTGAACAAACATTTGAGCAGTTGAGCAATGAACGAGTTTCGAGCGAGTATCGAGCTACTCGCATTTCTCGATACCCGGGTATCTAGAGCTCTACTACAAACTACCTTATATGAATACGCCCTAGGCTAATCTAGTACAATTAAGAACTAAGAATTTACGAATGCGACCCTGTCATATGTATGACAGCTGCTAGGCTTATATCAAAATATGAAAAATATAAGGAGTGTTCGCTATGCAAAAAATTTGTACAAGTTGGTACCAATTGTTACCAAATCGTGTTCGTTTAGCCAAAAACCCAGTAAAAAATGCAAGGAGAGAGCACAATTTTGACATTTCATTTGGAGGGGAAGTTGCAAATTCGTGCTGGGAAAATTTTTGCCAGTAAGAATTTGCAAGCAGGATTGTGGCACACGGTTGCATTTTTGTCAACATTAATTTGAATCAACGAGTTCGTTAAATTTAAAAATGGACTATTTTGTTGCGATTTACTAATGAAAGAAGTATGTGAATATTCGTTTTTCAATTAATTTAATTAATTCCAAACATTTGAAAGGTACTGGGCTGAAAAAGCTGTATTAGTAATCGGAACGCACTCGACACCACTGTCGATATAGGAAATCCAACAGTGACTTCGACAATGAAATTGAAGCGTATGTTGAAGAAAGTCAGAATAAGAAGAAATATACGTATAGGTCCTGTTTTGGTTTCCACCTGAAATAATTAAAAAAATTTATTATGCTCGAAATGCAACCGTGGACGCCAGCTGGCAGTGAAGTTTGCGAATGTTTGCTAATTCCTGTTCGCGCAAAACTTAGTAAGTTTCTCTCTTTGGGAGAGTAAGGTACCTTGTTCTCTGAATTTTGTTACTGGCTAATTCATCCTGGCAGTTGCACAGCGAACACTCCTATATTGGCGGCATTCGACTCGAACACAAGTACTTTTATTAAATTAAATTCGACCAGCTAGCCACCAAGGCATCGGCTGCAGTCAGCAGCTTACAAGGTTCGATAACCTGACAGTTGTCTCTCTCGCACCGCTCCCTTAGCAGTGGCACCGTGTTGCTTCTTTGTAAATTTACATGGAAACAGTGTAGCTTTGGTGTGAAATAGAAGTATAAGTTTTTGTGCAATGTGTTTCTTTGTATATGCATATGAGGCATATTTAACTGATGAAAACATAAACAGTTTTTGAATTGGATGTTTACATCAATCTCATAGTAGTCTTATTTTGATTTTGAATCATTTTGCAGTTTTTATACAGCTAAATAGCACATAAATTACGCAATTCATCAGTATATCAGTATTACGTTCAACATTTCGTTTAAAATGCCCGATTTCCTGCAAATACATGAGAATTTACAAAAGGAATTTCACTACTAATTGCCTACTTTGCGTACTTTTCTACTACCATTTTCGCACCAAGAGATTTCATTCTTCGCCTTTCTCCGTCCTTCGTAAATGCAACCTTTTGTAAGGGAGTGTCAAACCGCAGCTGTCAATAATTATCTAACCCTGTATTATTGAAACATGGCCTGCACCCATGCTTCAATTATTAAAGGTTTTGTAAGTAGCTTTTTTCTAAAATTTGGCACTCCCACCCACAGGGATGGTTTATGGAAGCAGGAGAAAAAGGGGAAGAATTGAATCACACTTCCTAAAATGGGAGCTAAATTCCATAAAAACGTGTGGATAATAGTGAATGGTGGTATTTTAAAACAAAAACGAATTTGATGTTATTATTTAATTTAAACAAGCTTATTTACATCGAATATAACCCCCGATTGTTATTAAAAATAAATATTTCTACGTATATACCAAACATGCGCATAACTCGAAAATGGATGGTCCACTTTCAGCCTTTTTTTGTTCTACATATTTGTTTGCCAGATGATGGATATGAAGAAGCTATTTGTTTGTGGAAAATATGCAATATTTATTAAACAAGAAAAACGGCAAATAAAAAAATTTGGAGCTTACGTTTCTTTCGCGGTTATGGCTCGATTGTTTCGAATATGGTAATTCGAATTCTTTGATGTCGCACTTTCAATGTTCTGGGGAAATTATACCACTGTCAGAATATTAACCATTCGCCGGGTTGCACGAAAAAGAAAATTTGAATGACTAAAAATATCAAAATATAAAAATATTCGCCATAAAAGGCGTTTGCATTGTTCATCTTTGCATTCTACTTTCAACTAATCGCTTTGAACAAAGTTGGTCGCCAGCCAACATTCTCCTCGTGCGTACACCTTTTAAGTGTGCGATTACATCGCGCCATTGACTAAACTGAGCTGTCGTGTGACGATTGGGCCTATGGATGCGGTTTGGCAATGTTATATTGCGTCAAAGTCTCATTCGGAGACACCAGGATTGTGTTGTGGAGGACAATACCTAAATACCTTCGTTGGCTCCACGAATATCGACAAATACATTTCGGCATTTAAGTGAATTTCGTCTCTTTAGCCTACATTGAATTTCTGTAGTCCAACGATTCTCACCCATTTTTTCTTGTTGGCGCCAGCGAATCAAGAACAAGCATTTTTTTTCAAATTTAAAAAGTACAAATTTCACTACTAACAATTTAAAAGTGTTCTTAAAACTTGCAAAGAAATATGGAAAAGAAATATCACTGCTTTTGTTTTTAGGAGTTTAGGGTCTAATCCAGAACGAATGAAAAAAATTACGTTTTTATGGTTTTATTGGCGAATTTCTAACTTAGCAGGTTTTAGTTTTTGTATTTTCGAAATTGAAGTGGATTTAGCAGGTTTTTTGTATGAATAAAATTGCTTCTATTTTATTTTTTGTGATTACGAGCTCAATTTAAATGTTAATTAAAATAGTATTCCATAGATAAAAACAATTATATATAAATATATAAAAAAATACAACAGATTTATTCTTCCGTTTATTGCAACAAAAATAGCCAGTTTATAAAACATATATTAGTAACTATACGTGAAGTATTCCTCTCTCAAATTAATAGTACAAAGATACATATAAGATAATTTAAGTAGGAGCTCAATAATGCCAGAAAATATGATACATATTATTCAATCATGAGGTAAATTGTTATAGTAGGCGTGGTAATCTTCAGCAAGTAATCGTTTGAAATACTGAAGATCTAATACTTTCTGCGAGCAACCGTACGCCTACTCTCGTATAAATTCGGAAGGTGAGAAAATTGCAAGGAAACAGCTACTGGGGATCCTCTTTGCGGTATTACTTCCCATTCGTTGGAGAATCTTAGTTTGAAATGTATGTCGCCACTTGGTGTATACGGTAGGGCTCGTATATCAGTTACTTTAGCAGCATCTTTGCCGCGACCGGGACGAATGCTATTAAAGAATTGAACTGTGTTAAAGCTTTTAAAGAACGTGTAACTAAGATAAGTAACGTCATATGGTTTTGGATTTTTTCTAGCTGATCTACATACTTCAATGTATTCTGCAGGAACATGGATATCTCTTTTCTTAAGTGCTCGTTCGATAGTGGAATGGATACAATCAGCTTCCATTTGGGTATGACCTACTTCAAGAAACTTTTGCTCAATAATGATATTGTTATTTATAGCTGTGGATAACAAAGTATTAGCCATAATACTGTTTCGGTTT